GCAGTTGCATGCTTTCTTAATGACTATTTTATGTTTTTTCAATAATCCCATATTCATTATTTACTAATATTAATTTTTAAGGAGAAGAATAGAAAAAAAAGCAGAGAAACAAACTTGTCATTGAGAAACGAGGAGAACAGAGCTACAGGAAACGACAAAAGAAGAAGATTAATGCTAGAGAGCATAAGAGATAGATAATGCCAACGAGCTTTTTCCATTAACCCATGTAATACATTGTAGGTAGTACATATAAGAGAAGTAGAACTTTCCAGCAACACATCTTTTAGGAACAAAATTAGTTAGGACATTGCCCGCACTCCTCCTTTGGGACCACTTGGACTAATGATTGTCGAAGATGGTGTAGTGAAGCTAATAGCCCTCACGACGTACGCCGAGTAAGCTTTGTTAAAGGAGAGAAAGAGATGTTATGAGATTTTCTACCTTCTGGTTTCATTGATATGTATTACTTCCTCATCTACTATGTTATGCAGTTCGTCTATAGTAGATTATAACTACAAAAACATTGTCGAAAGCATAAGGGCTGGTCTTGGTCATTAGATGATGTTAGACTGAGATGAGAATGATTATCTTCTCTTTTTTGTAATATTGAATTAATTTTGTTAGCAAGTTAATTACTTGTTGTTCATAAGTGCACACTCGTGAGTCTCTCGCTGAAAAAGGTTTAAATCTCGAGGATGAAAACATCAAGACGAATGAGAGGGCATTCATGATGCTCATGGGTCTCAAGCACCTTACTAGAGTATATATGCAATAGTTGGACTCACTTCATCCAACTACTTTTTACAGAATAGTTATTACCACCGACGATAGTATCAGAGGCAATAAATTTTGACCAAATAGTCAGAGTGGAACAGGATGTATAAGCTATAAGGTAAGAGATGACAAAATGTGAGAACTTATAACATTTCATGACTGCACGTGGACTAAATATGAAGTGGAGGATGCATGATAAGACTAATTTATCGTATGCATAAATAATTAGGTTAGCTCAGCTAATTTAAATGTTGTTATAAAACATTTAAATTTAATA